ACCATTTGTGACTTGGGAGGAAGGAGGGCGGACGGAGCCGGAAGTGCGAGGCGCGGGCCTCTCTGCCCACCCTCACCCAACGTGGGGGAGGGAGAGCGGGGACGCAAGGGTGGCGAGCGTGTGTGGGAGGTGGAGCCAAAGTCCCCTGAGGTCTCGGGAGAGGGAGGAGAGACCGGAGGGCGGATGTGCTGGAGTGGGGGTGCGAAAGGTTCACCCGCATCAAAGTAGAAAAGGGAGGGGCGAGCCTAGGAGGGCTGGAAGTGTGCCGGAGTTGGGACTGATGTAGCCCAAGTTCCTGGAAAAAGAGCAGGCCTGTCCCGAAGTAGCGTGGGCGTGCGTGCGAGGGGAGGTTAGACTCTGTGGATCGGAAGTGTGTTGGGAACGAGGCCAAGTGCCTATCCTAGTTCTGAGAGACAAAGAAGGGCAGAGGTGTGCCAGGGGAAGGGACTGTGTGTCTTTCCAATCCCAGGATGGCTGGGCTTAAAAGTCCTCCCAAGTTCTGGAGAGATTGGGGCTAACTGTACTCCAGTCGTGGGGGAGGAGAAGCGGGCTAGCCAGGATCTTCTCTCTGCCCGGTGTCCTGTGGTCGAGTTTGCTCCTGGGAGCCCAGGTGCTTATATATAGAAAGAGGATGCCGAAATCTGTCGCTGTCCAGGAACTGATGTGTGCCGGTCTTCCCTGGGACCGCGGTGCCTCTCATCTTCCTTGGGAGCACAGCTCAACAAAGTATTGTCTTGGCTTTCTCAGGGACCAGCATCTGGTGTTTTCTTATTCCTTGGTTTCCGGGGCCTGGTGTGGTCTTGACTTCCTTGGTGCCCAAGGGCTCTGATTTTCTCTCTCCTCCTTGGGACTCAGGACCCTGTGTACTCTCCTCTTCCTTGAGGTTTCTTGGCAGGTCTCAGCGGCCCTGTGCTGCCTTCTGGGGCCCCTGTTCACTGCCTCCTAAGCTTGCTTTAAAGGTTTTTAATTTTTTGGTCACTGTGGAGGATCCACCCTCAAGCTACACATCGTTCCTCTTAATTGTTGCGGTTATTAAGTCTGTTGATTTTGCATGTTAGTGTTTACCCAGAGACCATATAGATACCTTTTATTCTAATATTTTATTGGAGTAGTGTGTGGTCATGTGCTTCTGTAATCCCAGCGCTTTGGGAGGCTGAGGCTGGAGGATGACTTGAGCCCAGAAGTTCAAGTTTACCAGAACAGTGATTGGGCCATTACACTTCAGCCAGAGTGAGATCCTGTCTCAAAACAACGACAACAAAAACCCATGATTTCTGAACAAATATCAACTATTATACATGTAAAATGTCAAAAATGAGCCGGGCTCGGTGGCTCAGCCTGTAATCCCGCACTTTGGGAGGCTGAGGTAAGTGAATTGCCTGAGCCCGCAGGTTCGAGACTGCCTGGGCAACCTGGCGAGACCTTATCTCTACAATAAATCCAAAAAATTAGCCAGGCGTGGTAGCATGCGCCTGTAGTTCCAGCTACTTGGAAGGCTGAGGCGGAAGGATTGCCGGAACCCAGCAGGTCGAGGCTGCGGTGGCCGGGAGCGGCCACTGCACTCCGGTCTGGGTGACAGAGTGAGACTCCAACTCAAAAAAAAAAAAAAAGTCAAAAATGTTATTCATTTTCTTTGGTTTTAAAAACAGATATACAGTGCCCTGAGCCTTGTTCAGAACCTTTAGGGCCAGAAGTCTTTTGGAATTCATCATTATTTGCATTTTAGTAAGATAGTAAGCTACATAAACCATGCTGTATGTAATGTCTCTTACAGGTCTGTGGTAGTGCTTGGCAATGAAACATGTATCTGTAGCAAAATACAGAAAGATTAACACTAGGTTGAAGAAAGATAGAGTATAAATAGCCTTGTTAGTTCACATAAATTTCAGACTCATAACAAGGATAAATTTTTCATTAGAAAATGTTTTGGGGTGGGGTGTGGTTGCTTATACCTGTAATCCCAGCTGTTTGGCAGGTCAAGGCAGGAGGATTTCTTGAGCCCAGGAGTTTGAGAACAGCCAAGGCAACATAGCAAGACCTCGTTTCTACAAAAAAAAAAAAAAAAAAAAAAAAATAGCTGAGCATGGTGGCCCATGCTTATAGTCCCAGCTACTCAGGAGGCTGAGGCAGAAGGATCGTCTGACCTCAGAAATTCAAGGCTGTGGTGAGCCATGATTGTACCACCACATTCCAGGCTGAGTGACAAAGTGAGACCCTGACTCACGAAAAAGATTGTTTTGGAATTTTAAATTTCAGAGAAGTCATTGTGGATCAAAAATGAAAATGGCTGGAATAGCAATAGTAGTTATTTCATTCAATTGCAAGGTTTGATTTTTATATTTTCTTTTTTAATATCGTCTACATAGGCATACATTTATTGCGATACTTAGCTATTGAAATATATTAATATTCTTCCACATGCTTTCTTTAATCAGTGGTCTACTATTGGTTTAAATTAAGCAACATATGACTAAGAATAAAATATATAAAACTATAAATTGGCCCAAACCTCCGTGGTGGATGTTGGTGTTCAGCTGAGTCCTTAAATCACTGTGCATCTGAATCCTGGGCTTGTGATTTCATCTCCACTCAGCATTCTCTGTCTTTGTTGCAGCATACAGAGCTTCTTCAAGTTGTTCCATGTGAAGGGGGACACATGTTTTAAAATAATTTTTAGGGCTGGGCTCAGTGGCTCAGCCTGTATTCTCGGCACTTTGGGAGGCTGAGGTGAGTGGATTGCTTGAGCCCTCAGGTTCGAGACCAACCCAGGCAACTTGGCGAGACCTCATCTCTACAATAAATAACAAAAAATTAGCCGGGTGTGGTAGCGCACATCTGTAGTTCCAGCTACTTGGAAGGCTGAGGCAGAAGGCTTGCTGGAGCCCAGCAGTTCAACGCTGGAGTAGACATGAGTGTACCACAGTACTCAAGCCTGGGCGACAGAGTGAGACTCCAACTAAAAATAAATAAATAAATCATTTTTAGAAGAAGAAAAATATGTCTTACCATCTTTAAATTTTGAACCTCCAGGACACTTCTCTGAACTCCTCAGAGCTTGGATTTCAGGTTGGAGACATATGGATCGATTATTCAGTTTTTAATATGTAAATTATTAGTACCACAACTTTTTCCCAGAAAAGAGTCTCCTTGGTCTATTTATTCCTGCTACTCATTTATTCTTTGCCAATTTTCCCCAGCATCAAAGATAAAGTCACCATCAACATCATCCACACTGGACATAGTGTGTGGGGGAAAAAGTGAAGAGTTTGAACTTTGAGAAGAGGCTAACCACAAAGAGCCTCCAGAAAACAACCTGCCTCAAAGAGGAATGCAAGGAGTCCACAGATTGCAGGACACATGGAGGCAGGTTTGGAATCGTCCAGTTGATACCTTTGCACCCTGTATCCACTAGGGTATGTCTGGTTGAAACTAAATAAAAATCCAAATAACAAACAACATTTCCTCACAGGACAGGAAATCTACAAGTAGGTAGTTCCTGGTGCTGGTTAAGCTGCCCACTGATGTCACCCAGGATGGGCCTCCCTCTTTCCTTCTTGATGTCTTCAGTGTGGGGATATCTTGTCCTTTGGCCACTAGAGTGTAGATGAGGAACAAGCCAGGCACATATCTCTTGCTGGACCTGAACACAACCCATCTCAATACTTCTCTTTGCTTTGGGAAGTCAACCTTTTCCTTGTTGATGAAAATTGGCTCCCATCTTTCTGCTTGAGTTTTTTTTCTTGTTTGCTCACTACTCTGTTCAACAACCAGGGCTGGATATAAACATCCAAAACAAAATATGTGCTCAGCAATATTAATATAAAGATGTTTGGATGTATTACTCTTAATAAGATATGAAATAGACTTAAGTGCTACAATTATTGGGGGGAAAACATGAAAGTTCATTTATTAATGTACTTAAAAAGTCCAACTGAAAATTTTAAGGATCAACGAGATTGCAATGGGCTGGGCAGAATAAGAAATAAAGATACTCAAATGGACACACACATCACATGCATGCACAAAATCTTTGCAACCTTAAAATTGAAAAGGAGATTCCATTCCCAGTAGAATTATAAAAACATAAAATGTCTGAAATTAATTTATTGGGAAATGAAGAGGACCTATGTGAAGACAAGTTTTAGAATTACAAGTAAACTTACATAAATGAAAATGCTTATGTTCCAGGATGGGAAGGCTGACGTATAGAGTGGCAGTTACCCAAATTCATCACTCAGCCCTCTTCAGCATATGGTCTTGGTTTTTTCTAAGGCTTATGTCCTCAACGGCTGAATGTGGTCCCCATAGTTCCAAGTATCGCATGTAGCCATGCAACATTTGGCTGAAGAAGTTTGCATCAGGGTATGTGTTTGTTGTCTATCACTACTTAACAATAAAAGGACAAATGGGATTACAACAGCCTTTTGAGAGATATGGACCTTGAACTTTGTTTTGTACTTCCCTCCTCCTCCTGTAAGGGAAGGCATTGATTGCTTATTCTTCACAAGAACAAACTGGTCTCACTCTCATCTTGAGAAATACCTGTAGAAATTACTAGTACAAAAATGTTCTTTGCTTTCACCAATAAATTTAGACTTCAGAGCCATGAGTAGCATACAGTTATCACAGAGCTTCTTGGGGGGAGGTTGGTGGAGAGGAAGGGAATCATCTTTGGTTCAGTAAGTTAACACTATTTATTTATTTATTTATTTATTTATGTATTTATTGAGTCAGTCGCACTTTGTCATGCAGGCTGGAGTGCAGTGCACTATCATGACTTACTGCAGCCTCGACCTCCTGGGCTCAGGTGATCTTTCACCTCAGCCTCCCAAGTAGTTGGGACTATAGACACACACCACCATGCCCAGCTAATTTATTTTTCTTGTATTTTTTGTGGAGATGAGGTCTCAATATGTTGCCCAAGCTGGTTTTGAATTCCTTGGCTCAAGCAATCCTCGCCTCATCCTTCCAAAGTGCTGGGATTACAAATGTGAGCAATCATGCCTGGCCCCCTACAACTTATTTGGAATGGAGATGCATGGTTGGTTCTGAGCGCCTTTTTTTCACCCAGAGAGAACACATGCCACCCACTATGCAGGTCAAGGAATGAGTGGGAACCATACCTATACCTGCATCTGCTTGTATAGCTTGACTCCACCATATCCCAGAGCTTATTTTCACATCATACCCTTAGACCTGGAATGTCTCTTTGGTGTCTGTGAACCCCTGGCTATGCCTCTGAGATTGCAGCTAGGATAACCAGGCCCTTTCAACTGACTGCAGTGGGTCTCTGCCCTTCATTGGGTGTCCACCTCCCAGGGAGTGACTCAAGAGTCTGGTCAGCAGGGGTCATCCTGAGCCTGCAGAACCTAGTTACCTGTGATGTCTGTTTCTAGGCATCCCAAAATTACAGTTCAATATGATTAAGCAAGAAACTTGAGAGCAGAAGCTTGGGAAAACGAGAAAGGGATAGCATATATAGACACAAAGACTTTAGGGCTCAACTATGCTCTGTAGCCAGGAAATGTTCACGTTATGGCAAGCCCTCCTCAACATATAGTCTTGATTGTTTCCTAAGGCTCATATCCTCACAGTATCAAGGTCATCATAGTTCCAAATATCGTATGTAGCTATACAACATTTGGCTGAAGAAGTTGGTGTCAGGGAATATATTTGTTGCCTATTACCACTGTAACAAATTATCAGAACTTTGTGGCTTAAAACAACACAATGTAGTGAGACCCTGTTTGTATAACCATTTAAAAAGTTAGCTGGGTGTGTTCCAGCTACTCAGGAAGCTGAAGCAGAACGACTGCTTGAGCCCAGGAGGTTGAGGCTACAGTGAGTCATGATCATCCCACTACACTCAGTCTGGGCATCAGAGTGAGACCCTGCTTCTAACAAACATTATGTAAAAAGGTCCTTAATGACATCATCAAAGTCCCTTTTCACACATGCATCTATGTGCTGTCTGTGAGAAAAGCTGGAAGAGAGTGGTTGGTACTTAGGCATCTATGGAAGGAGCAATAAAAGAGGGTGGCATAGCCACAGTAGCTGACACAAAAGTCTGCTTAAGTGAAGCTCCCCTGCTCTAGAGTTATAAGACTACAAAACAGATCTGTGGGCAGCTGATGCTGAAAATTTCTGGACTTGCTGCCAGCAAAGATCTGAAATTCTGCCTCAGTGTCCAGGGAGCAGCAAGGAGAAGGAGACCTTGGAAGAGGGTTGGATGGAAGTGCTGAAAAGCAAAGCTGGCATTACACTGAGTGTACGAAAGGAGTGTGAGGACAAGCGCGGTAGCTCAAACCTGTGGTCATGCTGGGGTGGCCGTGAGTGTGCCACTGCACTCCAGGCTGGGTGACAGAGTGAGACTCCAACTCAAAAAATAAAAAAAGAAAGAAAAGAGTGTGATCTCTCCCTTGGTTTTAGGAGAGAAACCAAAATTTCAAAGGATTCTCATAAAGGGAGAAAGGAAAGTCTTCAAGGTTCAGGTGTGAGACCTTTCCACTCATCCCCTCCCAGAGCACTCCAGATACCCTTTGGGACAGCTGTGCGTAAGGTTGCCTCTCAGTCTCAGCTCCAGGAGATGTCACTCAGTGGTCTGTAGCCACGTGGCCCCATCCTATTCCCACTGCAACAGTGATTAATCTAGGGACACGCAAGAACCCTGGTCACGCCAGTTAGTGCAAGGGCATTCTCCTGTTGACGACAATGAAGTCAAAGTAATGAACATCAACTGGGAGTGAAGCCCAGAGTTTTGACTAAAAATTAAGAGAGTGTGTGAGGCTGAAAAATGACCTCCAAAAGTGTCAGGTCCTAATCCCTGGAGCCGGTGCATGTTACCTTATATAGAAACAGGGTCTGCAGTTGCATTTAAATTGAAGATCTTGAAATGGGGATTATTCTGGATTGTACATGCAATTATATGTATCTTTACAGGAGGGAAACAGAGATCCGATCACAAATACACAGAAAAGGAGAAGGTGATATGACCACAGGTCAAAACTGGAGTTCCACTGCCACAAGTCCACAAATGCCAGCAACCACCAGAAGCTTGAAGAGAGAGGCAAGGAATGAATTCTCTCCTGTGCTCCTCCAAGGGGAGCACAACCCTTTCAGCCCTTCGATTTTTAGCTTAGTGATACTGATTTCATGCTTCTGGCCTCCAGAACTGTGAGAGAATAAACTTCTCTTGTTTTAAGACTTCTCTTGTCTCTTGTTTTAAGACACTAAGTTTGTAGTAATTTGTTACAGCAGTGATAGGACACTAATACAGGGAGAAATGCCCAGTCTCTTGATGGAAGTTAAGGAAGCATATTCAGTCTTTTTTGGCTGCCATATTGTGGTATGGGAGCCAATTTAAGAATAACCAACATTGCAGACAGCTGAAGGGAAGGGGGAAAGAAAACTGAGTATTTGGAGATATTGCTGAACTGCTGGGTCATATGGATCCTGAAGCTACACTGGCTGCCTAACTCTTCAGGCCTGTGAATAAAAAGTTATCTGATGGTGTTAGTCTGAGATGTGTTTGCTTTTAGTAGCAACAGCAAACATACTCATACAACAGCAGTGGCAGATCCATTTGTTTTGAGACCATTTTAAACTGCAGCATGGATCCTCTGTGTCCTGTTATTGCATCAATTGGCAAATTATTATTATTATTGTTTTGAGTTGGAGTCTCACTCTGTCTTGCCGATTTGCCCAGGCGGTCTCGAACCCGCGGGCTCAGGCAATTCACTCACCTCGGCCTCTCAAAGCGTGGGATTACAGGCTGAGCCACCGAGCCCGGCTGGCACATTATTTTTAAACTGAAGTTTTGTATACACACACAGTGACAGGCAGAAAGTCCTTATCCATACAGTTTGATGAATTTTTGATATGTAGACAACTACATATCCCATCACACAGGCCAAGATAAATATACTTCCAAAATTCCACACTACTTGCTGGTTAATATTAACTCCCACTATCTTGATTATCATCATCAACTAATTTTTCTCATTCTCAAACTTCATGTAGACTCACGCAGTCTTTAGTGTTTCATGTCTGGCTTCTTTCACTCAAAATATTTTGGAGTTTCATCCAATTTGCTGCATATATCAGTAGTTTGTTCTTTTTAAACTGTTGAGCAGTATTCCTTTTTCTTTTCATTTTTTGAGTTGGAGTCTCATTCATTTGCACATTTGTTCATGGCCACCCCAATGTCGACGTTCTGGCAATCCTTCCACCTCAGCTTTCCACATAGTCAGAACTACAGATGTGTGCAACCATGCCCGGCTATTTTTTATTTTATTGTAGAAACAAGATCTTGCCAAGTTGCCTGGACTGATCTCGACCCATGGGCTCAGGCAATCCACTTGCCTTGGCCTCCCAAAGTGTTGGGATTACAGGCTGAGCCACCAAGCCCAGCCGCTGAGTAGTATATTGTGGATGTACCACATTTTGCTTGTTCATTTTATTACCAGTGGACTTCTGGAATGTATCTTGTTTTTGGCTCTTACGATTAAAGCTTATATGAACTTCATTTTACTTATCTTTTTAAAGCATGGCTCATACTTTTGTTGTAATTACTATGCTGTTCTCTTGGGGGATTCTTCCAAAAGAGGTGCAGATTTTGAGCTCTTGCTAGTCTGAAAATGCTTACTCTATCTTCATACATGAATAATATATTTGTTGAACATAACATTATGAAACTAAAGTTTTCTAGTTTCTGGGATTTTTACTTGTCTTCTAGTGTCCAAGGTTCCAGAAGAGAAAGTCAATGCCTCTTAGACCCTCTGCTCTTTGTTAGGGATTTTGGTTGAAGCTTGTGAGGTTTGCATTATTTTTGGAGTATGAACACTTGACTAGATTGTGGTATGTTTTTTGTTTGTTTCTTAGAGACAGGGTTTTGCTCTGTTGTTCAGGCTGGAGTATAGTGGCACAATCATAGCATGCAACCACACTCAGTTAATTAAAAAAAAAATTTTATTGTAGAGGCCAGGTCTCACTATGTTGCCAAGCCTTGTAGTATGTCTTTTTAATCCTGCCTGGACACTGGCAATGCCCTTAGGAGTGTGAAGATGCACACAAATCTTTATGATACCTCTCTTGAAGTTAATAATAGAATGCCATTGGCAAAACATTAGGAAGTTTGTATAAAGCTCCCTTATTTGTTTGAAGTGACAACATTTGGGTTATGCAGGAAAAAAGGATGTCATATTCTTTACCCTTCCTCTATGAATATTATTAAGTTATACATATATTGGTCCCCATGATGCTAAAAGAGGTATGATTTCTATATCACTTTCAAAGTTGGTGGTTCTTTGATTTATATATGTTATAGAAAGATAGATATGCTGTTGTAATTGATAACATTTACATTTTATTTTCTATGGAAACCATTTCTATGAGGCATCATCCATTAGACCTAGACCCCAAGTTCTCATTAAATGGCATTTCTATGGAAAATTAAAACATATGTAGAGTACAACTGCTTATACCTTCTTGTTTGCTACTTCAGGGAATCACAAGTGCACAATCTTATTACATTCAAACATTACTTGTTTATGAGCCAGAAATAAATTTTAGCTTTTGCCTCCTTTTTGGTTTATCTCTGATGTCAAATAAAATGGAATTCCAAATTCCAACCAATAGCATTTCATGTTGATTTTGTTCAGTGAGTTTTCCTGGTATCAAATAAAGTAAAAGCCATGGTAAAAAGCTTGCCAACATTGACTACATTCATAGTGTTCTCCAGTATGAGTCCTCTTTGTTAAATAACGTGAGAACACCTCCTAAAGGCTCTTCCACACTGATCACATATTTAGGGGGGTTTTCCCCAGTATGAGTTCTCTGATGTTGTATCATAAGCCTAGATGATGTCTAAAGCCTTGCCTGTGATGACTTCATCCATCATTTTTCTCTCCAGCATGCATTCTGTGATGTTGAGTAAGGAAAAGAAGCAAAGTGTGAAAACTTTCTCCAAATGATCACATTAATAGGGTTTCTCTCCTTTATGGTTCTTAAATGTGGGGGCAAATTGGTCACTCTTTTAAAGGAGTTTCCTAAATTCACTACAAATATAGAATTTTTCACAGGTATAATTTATCTTATACTGAATAAGGGAAATTTTGTGTCTATAGCCTTTTCCACAGTGATTACATTTATAGGGTTGTTCTCCTATGTGAGTTCTGAAACATACTGAAAGAAATCTATTTCAGTAAAGACTCTCATATACTCACCACATTTGTAAGGTCTGTCTCCTGAGTGAGTTTGCTTACAGTTCAAAAGACTTGAGGTCTGTTTAGAGACTGCTCTACATGTATTACATTTATACTCATATATAAATTATACATATACACACACACACACACACACATATATATATATATATATTTTTTTTTTTTTTCAGTTGGAGTCTCACTCTGTCGCCCAGGCTGGAATGCCATGGCACACTCACAGTCACCCCAGCATCAACCTGCGGGCTCCAGTGATCCTCCTGCCTCGGCCTTTCAAGTAGCTGGAGCTATAGGCACTACCACAACCAGCTAATTATTTTGATTTATTATAGAGACGAGGTCTTGCCAAATTGTCCAGTTGGTCTCAAACCCTTGGGTTCAGGCAATCCACTCGCCTCAGCCTCCCAAAGTGCTGGAATTGCAGACTGAGCCACTGAGCCCAGCCTTATTTATATTATTTTTAGAGCATGGGCAAATTCAACTGCTTTTTGGGAATCTATATTCATTCTACAACCATACCCTATCAAAATGGAATATTATTCCCATGTCCCATCTGCTCCTCCCCCAGTTTTATCCTGTCAGTGAATGGCATCACTGTCAACTCAGTAGCCAAGGACCTCTCCACCTTGATTTTGTATCAGTCCCTTTCTCCAGTATGACTTCTCTGATGTCAGAAAGTACATAACATGAAGAGGGATTTCTCACATTTCATACATCTGTAGGGTTTGTCACCTGTATAAGTCCTCTTGAGCCAAAGCTGGGAGTAGCTCTGAATAAAGTTTTCACTTTCTTACATTTAAATTGACTCTTTCCTGAATGATTTCTCTTATAGCTACTGAGGTTTGTGCTACATTTAAAAGATGTACCACATATATTTCATTTGTAAGACTTTTTTACGTTGAACTATTTGAACTAAGAAATTTAGTATTTTGACCGAAAGTAGTTCCACATTTATGATTTTCAGGTGCTTTTCTCTGCATTTTTGGTAACTGATTGAATCTGAACATTGTTTTACAATGAGTCATGTATGTAATGGTGTTTGCTAGTAGGAATATCAGATAGTGGAAAAAGGCTTGAATTTTATTTCACTTTCTCCTGATTTCCTTATTCTTACAGCCTTGCTCCAGAATTAATGCTTCCTCATTTATTCTACCCAACTCTCTTTGTCCTCCTACTGCTTTTCTTCTTCTCTTTCTTTTTTTTTTTTTGAGTTGGAGTCCCACTCTGTTGTCTAGGCTGGAGGGCAGTGGCATCCTCATAGTCACTGCAGCCTCGACCTGCTGGGCATAGGCGATCCTTCCACATAGCCTTCCAAGTAGCTGGAACTACAGACACACACCACCACACCTGGCTATGCTAATTTTTAAAAAATTGTTTTTGGGCCGGGCGCGGTGGCTCAAGTCTGTAATCCCAGCACTTTGGGTGGCCGAGGTGAGAAAATTGCCTGAGCTCAGGGGTTCCAGACCAGCCTGAGCAACTTGGTGAGACCTCGTCTCTACAATAAATAAAAATATAAGCCAGGCATGGTAGTACACATCTGTAGTTCTAGGTACTAAAAAGGTTGTTCTAGCTACTCGGAAGGTTGAGGTGGAAGGATCACCTGAGCCCAGCAGGGAGTGGCACTGCACTCCAGCCTGGGCAACAGAGTGAGACTCCTACTCACATAAATAT